TTTTTTAGATCAATTGAGTGACCCTTAAGCTTTGTTTCCAGTGGATTGTGTACAGATTCGATAACTGAGATTTAAGAAATATGTTTATCTCTGATAAAATTACTAAGTTTTTGCCTAGCAATCTCAGCAAAAGAATACAATGCTATTCCAAATGTCCCTGCTCAACCCTTCCCCAAACATTTCTTTGTGACTGGCCATACCCTGATTACTCGATCCCTGCTACAAAGTTTGATAATTTATGATTTGGAGCTGAATTGTTTTATGGGTGGATAAGAATTTATTAACAATATGTAAATATAGAAAATGAATAAGAACATTGTAAAATAATGAATTTAAAATTAATACAAACAGACAAGAACTTTTATCAGATGATTATTATGCAGATTAATACCTTGTGGGCAGTTTACAATTCATCTGCTTTCCTTTTTATTCTAATTTGAAATTAAGGTCATGGTAATATTTAATCCCAGACACCAGGAACAACAATTATGTCATTTGTTTTGGTTAGTGTCAAAGATGCAGCAATGTTGTGTATGACAAGAAACGAAATATGTTACAGATGACATCATCAGTTTAGTCCTAAAGCCAGTGTTAGATTATGGCTCTTGTTCATTGATTATTGGATGATGACAATAAATGAAATTTCTGTCGGACAATAGGTTGTCCAATGTTTATTACCGATCAGATAAGAATTGATATATATATATATGTCAATCTGTACCATAATTTCTCTGAATAAACTATTTATGAGATAGACAGAGTCCTAATGTAACCAACCTGATACAATGAACAGATATTATAGTCTGACTGGCTTACCAGTCATATCAACTTAATTAATAGCAAGTAATGGAAAGTCTATGGATACAGGGACAGTTATTATTATTGGTCGACAAAGACCGGAGATAACTGAAACATACTTTATTTAAAAGGAAAAGTAGCTTAGCTTGACTATATGTATTTCAAATGGAGCTGATCGAAAGATATCTTTATCATTTTGTTTTTATATGGCATTTCAAATAAAGATGTGTCAATTGAAGAGAAATGAAAAATATATTTGGCAAATTTTAAAATTTAATTCCCCTTGTTAGCATAGCAGGATGGAGGGCCTGGATGGGACAAAAAAATCAAGGTCCTGTGTACAGTGTTGCTGTGCTCTTAAAAGATGGAATTTGATATAAGAATAGGCAAAAGTGCCGTTGTATTAGCCAAATTTCCCTCATAGCAAACTGGATGGTGTATGTCCGTCCTCATTAGCCCGTTTGGTGCAGAAAAGTGGGACGTTAAACCACATTTCATTTGATACGTAAACTAATGGCATGTCGGGTTAACATACCAGATTGTTCACATGTATTTAAGTCAAATATATGTACTATTGTAATGTAAATTAAGACTTTATTATATAATTAAGTACATCTGAATATCAAATATTTTAATGAAAACGCTTATACGAATAAGATAGCACATTTATTATAACTATATATTATTGGTCTAATTAAGAGAGATAAACATTTTGGTGTGAAATCAATAGAAACCAATCCGAACTTAAAATGACTATTAGTATTACAGTACTTTGGTTAGAATTGACCAACTTGAATAATTGTTAGCCCAAAATGTTTTCAAATTAAAACCCGACCATCCCATCCAATATTTCTAACCTCAAAACAAACAGAGGTATTAACAAGCTAAACTGGGTAATTAATATACACAAAACATCTACTTTTACTAGTTTTCCTAGCAGTAGTTTATGAGATTTAGAAAGTAGCATACTGGTACTTCTCAAGCTCCATGAAATGGAATACTTGTTATATTCTGATAGTATTTTGAAAAGGTCTCCCATTTCCATAATCATGGTCTTAATATGACAATTAAAGTACGTCATAAAGTAGATTATTATGTATATAATGCAAGGCTTAAAAAAACAGTTGATAATCAACGGAAGCCATGAGATGGTCATAGAAATGGAAATCTACAACAAGAGAGGCTTGTTGAGACAAATAATTGCGATAAAATTCTGTTGGCTCATCTTACAAATGACAGATGAGGGACTTCCATGATCCAGGGAGAAACTGCCAAAGTTAATAAATAAAAACATTATAAACCAGAAAAGTGTTGGATTGCAAATTTAGTATCAATTTCTAAATATTAGAGGGCACTGAATAATATGTAACAGGCCCACATGTTGTTGGATATTGTTTGATATGAATCAAAGAGCATACCAGAAATATATATTTGCTAGAAACATGATTACAATTATCATCACCTCTGTCTGTCCGTTGTCCACAATTGCTTGTGGACAAGCTACAGGTTAGAGTTATCATCCGATTTACTTAGCCTCCAGAAAGTCCACCAATTCCACACAGTATTTAATGTGGCTAAATCTCTATACAGTGAACTATGTCACTTCCGAAATCTGAATACTACGGCATTCTGTGAAATCTGTCATCAATTTCATGTCCCGATTTATTTCCTTAATTACTTCAACCTAAAAATTTTGAGTAGTCCAGATTTTGAATTACGACATCAATCAGCGGTCCCGTCACACGAATTGCTTCAATTAACATTGAATAATCCGGCCTTCAATTCAGTGGATGTTAACCGACAAGCAATCACCAATCAATTATCTGTGACCATATCATATGTGTCTGTCTTTGTTGATTGCCTTGATAACTTTATAATCTCTTGAAAGAGCTGGGCTTGGTATTTGATTTTAGTTTCTCACGTCAAATACAGCAACATTATATATATATAGATTGTCGAGATGAAGAATCCCTATTATTATAATATTGAGTTCATAATGTGTGACCGTACAGACTGTTCAGAAAACGTTATCATATTTTACGTTCTGGGTATTCGAGGATGCATTATAATAATACTTCCGGTATTCGAAGGTACAAAAATACTTCTGGTATAATACTTCCGGTATTGAGGCAATTGAGTATTCTGACATGCTGTGTAAACCGGCATATTGTATTGATCCTGTACGATTGGGGGGGGGGGGGGTGGCCGAATGGTTAGCACGTGCGTGCTGTATCATACGGTCATACGGCCTGTCATTGAGTCAACTGGCGTGGTTTCGAATCCCCGGTTGTACGTGACAAGGAGTAGGGTCGCCTGTCCAACCTCGTGGGTTTTCTCCGGGTCCTCCGGTTTCCTCCCACTGCTAAAGACCCCTACACGCAAGCGAATTATTGAAATAAAATTAAACCATATGTTAGTCCCGAAATGACCTAGTTTGTGTCGAGTGGACGTTAAACCCCATTACTCTCACATGTTGTAATTGACAGAGTCCTTTGTACTTTGGAACCTAAAATGGACGGAAATGGGTCAAAAAGCACATATTAATGTAATATGCTGATCTATCCGTCGAGCCATCCACCATCTTGTGAACACTCTACAGACTACATTAAAATTTATTATCTGATCATTTTGAAAATTATATGTATGTTGTTAATATAAGTGAGACGAAGGATCCTATTTAATTTCAACAATTTCCATTAATTTCTTCGAGAGTTATGGTCCTTGTGTCACTTTTTAGAACCTTGTAAAGTTATCATCCGATTTGTCTTACATTTACATGCATTATTTAAACTAGTTAAACGAAGGAGCCTATTGAATTTCAACAAATATCTGTTTCTATATAGCCATTGCTTTTCTTTGATGAACACCCTTATGACAAAAGTTATTTGATCTGTATGAAATTGATATTATCTTTTAAGAACTTTCATGGAAATCTCTGATCAGTTATGTTCGTCCAAATTGAATGACAGTCGCTTGCACTTGGTTATGCTGCTCATTAAGGCCTTTCATTAAGATCGTCCTCAGAGCATAGCGTACATGCTAGGATATGGTTTTAAAATTGTTCCATGTGTTAAATATATTCACGGTTAAGATAACAACAACAGTCTTGATTGGAATGAACCAAAATAATTCTGTTTGTAAAGTTGAAATCTCTGTATAATATTGAGTTAGAGCTTTACACCCTTTAAGTTCACGAGACCAAGAATCCTATTGATTTTCAAAGCTTTTTGATAAATATTTCCAGAGTTATTGCTCTTGATCACCTAAAGAAGAAGCCTATTGATTTGTAACTATTTCCAGTCATTACTTCCAGAGTTACTACTCTTGACTACTTTGAAAAAACTTGGGGATTTAAAGAGGATGACATCACAACTATGGTTTCATTAAAATTATTAGTATATTATTGTGATTGTATATTATAAAATCATTAAAGATTGTTTGTTGGTTGACTGGGCTAACTAATATTAGATATTATATGAAAAAGACAATAAGATGATTAGTGAGCATTGATTGATTGCTAACTTTTATATCTATTATTTGCAGTTCTGCTACAGTAAACAAGTTGAGTTAATTACATTGTTATATTAGAAAAACTGACGTCATTTTGAGTCTATTTAGTTCATTGCATGCTAATCGCTATCAATCTTTGACAATCTGTGTATATAATCATGTAATAATGACATTAAGACAATCAAATTCCTCATTATTTCCACCATCTCTTGTTTGTCCTCATCAAATTTTAGATTGTATAATACTGACAATGTTCTGGAATTAATGAATGACAAATTCAGTTCTAATCAAGTCAGGATATGGGACTGGTAGACAGCATGGCAATACTGCTATTATTTGATATTTGCTGCCCTTGTTGTTTATAGGATGTATGTTTTTCAAGTGGATATAAAATATGTGCTACAGTAAAAATCTGACGGATAATATACATGAAAATGCTGAAACCACCTGATGCATATCTTGATACAGGATATTCTCCAATACCTACGGATGGTAATATTTCATACAATAGCGGAGCATAAAACATGCATTTTTATAATAACATAAGCCATTTCTTTCAGAAAGCGGAAATGTGTCACTTTCTTCACTGCTCTTCATTTAGATCAAACCAGCAGTTCTAGAAGAGTTTTAATTACAATTTTGACAATTCTATAATGATTAATGTGACTATTGTATTTTATGGTAAATTCCAGGCACGAGAAGATCAAGTATAACATCTTTATGGAGTAGAGAGTCCACTACCTCAAAACACCGTCGACCAGATTTAAGGATTGACAATGTTACAGCAGAAACGAAATTTCATCAGCCTGTGCCTAGTCCTGGTATGCTTAGTACCCACTCCATGTGGAGCACCAGTGATTTATTGTTGTCTCCCAGTCCAAGACAACAACGTAGAGACCCAGATTCTTTTTCAAGGTAAGACTTGTTTTGGTAACATAGGTCTTTGACCTGTTAACATAATATGTTTTAAAGCTGCAGTATGCGAGAAGGCCAATAATCATTTTCTAAATAAGGAGAAGTACCGGTAAGAAAAAGAAGTCCCAGTTTTCACTTGGTCTTTAAAGAAATTATTGTTAAATTATGCAGATGAAATGTCTATTTGCCTTGTGTGAAAATTTTAACTCAAAATATTGTTCGCCAAAATAGTTTATAATCATGATTAAAGATGCTTGTCACCAACTCACCAACAGGAGTATAATACATGGAAATTCTCCTTTAAACAGAACAAAATTTAAAATTCAGAAGTGTTCATTAGATAGTTATAATTTAAACATTAATGAGATATTTATCTAGAGGGTTAAAATAAAAAATGAAGAACTTGAAACTGTTCTTTAATACTAAACAATTAAAACTTTAATAAGAAGAACTTAAAAGTGTTCTATATGCTTTTTGGTAAGACTACTTTGTATTGTTTATGGTCTGAAAGTATATATTTGCACTTTGCAGTTGGTTTGGAATTATATGTTATACAGGTCTATTGAGAATATACTCAATGATTTCACTATAATGCTGTTGGCAGCCACGGCCCCGAGTTCACAAAGCATTCTCAGACTTAAGTTAAGAACTTACTCAAAATCGTTCGCCTTATTTTAACTAAAATATAGCCCTTTATAAATATTTTCAATAAGAAACTATGTGCAAAGTTTTCTGTTTCTGGATCAAAGACATTTCTCATTGATTGAAAGTTGAGTAAATTCTTAAGTCTGAGAATGCTTTGTGAATTTGGTCCCAACTTATCACATCTTATGTGTTCATCTGTAAATCTGTTCAGTTTCTCTAAAGGAATTCTGTGATGGTGGTACTTGTTCTGATTTATTCAAGTAAAAAAAGTTGCCTTTCTCCGAGACACTAATATATGCATTTCATCTTTTCTTCTTTAAGGATTTCAAAACATTGAATTTTGTTTGTTAGATATATAAGTATATAAATTCTGACATTTTGACTTACCATATGAAATATTTCAACAAAATGTTTCAGATTAGAATTGTTGGTTTTATGAATATCTTTATAAATGTGATTGAATGATAGATTCACTCCATTGGAGTCCATAATGACAAATTGAACTGGAAGCCAGCTCTTGTGCTATTAAGACATCAACACTAACAAAATTTATAATATAGCTATTTATCAAATGTTCAACAAAAAGCAAAAATAAGTACATTTTATTCAACTCTAGTTGGATTGTCTGTGTAACATTTGGAATTTGCACATCATTGAATTGTCAAGAAAGCAATTCAAAGATTACAAATACCATTAATAAAGATATATGCCAATTGTTGAACACAGGTGACTATGTATTTTTATTTTATAGTTATAATTTCAAACAACAGCCCAAAGCATGATTGAGGGTAACAAAGTCCTACATTTTATTTTTAGATCTGTGTTATATTGTCAAAAAAGTGTGTGACTAGTGCGGGTGCGGAAAATGATAATACAGTAGAATCTGTACGAGCAGCCACTCCTATTCAGCGGTCACGAGAAATTCCCCCCGTAGAAATTCTATTGTTCCATCTCTTTAATCAACGGTCACTACTCTAACATGGCCAGCGGTCACTATTTTACTAAAAAATTTAGCAAAATAGCGCTTATTCAACGGCCATTGTTGAATGATACCATCTTGTTGTACTTCGTAGCACCTCCGCTAATCCCGTGATTAATAGTTAATTACCTAATCCCCCACCGATCAGGTAAAACGAACTGTGGAAATAACAATAAACCCGGGATTATCTGTTAATCAATCTTTTGTTTAATTAAATGACAAACCCCGATCATTGTTTTCACACGTAACGAAACACTATTTGATACTGATTAAATGAACTAAAAGTGCCATCAAAGCTGAGTTTTGTCACAGTCATTTAGTATCCATTTTCCATTGCCGCTTTGTTGCTAAACAGAAGTTTTAGCGCCTCCTATATTATATAAGAGTTACACCCCCTGAAAATCGGTGACAAATTCAGTGAAGGTTTTTTGGACATGTGCGTTTTGGAAAAAATAAAATTAATTCATGGATTGTTTTCACAAAAATGGATAAATATTATCGAATACATCACAATGGTTGACAGTAGTATCAATGTTGGTACTAAATGACACGTTTACAGAAGATATATCAGAGATTTGAGTCAAAGAAATTTTGTTCTAAGCAAGTTTCAGCGACGGCCAAATTTACCGATGCAAGTACAGTGTACAATATTTCGGATCACACAGAGTGTCGGAATACCGAGCTTTCTCCAAAACCGGAAATACTGTAACTTCGAAAACCGGAAGTATTTTTATATTGTAGCTTCGAATCACCAGAATGCTATTCCCTTTAAAAATGATAAACCTTTCTGTACTTTCAAAATTTTATTACATTAAATAATTAACAATAACAATGCATGCGTACAATATATTCATAAAATCATCTTTACGCTTTAATATGTCTGACACTGTAGCTCTGCGCAGGTCGTGGAACTTTCTCGAAATCTGCTATAAGTTGCCGCTTTACATCTAATGTCAAATCTGTTCGGGCACGCTTTGCAATTTTTATATAATGTCGCGGTATTTGACATGAGTAACTAAAATCAAATACCAAGCGCACTCTTACAAGAGATTATAAATTGTAAAATAATCAACAAAGAATTTATAACATTATCAAAGTAATCAACACAGACCGGCGCTTGTGAGTTTTATCTCACCGATAATTGATTGGTGATTTCTTGTTAATCTTTTCTGGCTTCACACCCATTGAGTTTTAATCTCACCGATAATTGGATGCGTCACACCCACCGTTTGAAGTACGGATTATACAGTGTTGATTCAATGGAAATTATGTGACGGGACGGCTGATTGATGTCGTAATCCGGAACATACAGAATCCGGATTTACCAGTGATTTTTTGGCTGAATTAATAAGGAAATAAATCGGGACATGAAAATCTTGTTGGATATCACAGCAATCTGGAGTGATCAGACATCGGATGTGACAGAGTCCACTGTATTGATGTTTGCTCGCAATAATGCACCCAAGCATAAAATTTACTTGATGTCAGCACTGACAAACACTGAGATTTTATTTATTAAGAGGTCACTCCCGTTAAGCGGCCAGTCATGAAAATTACCTTGAGTGGCTGCTTAATACAGATTCTACTGTATATTCATGCCCTCATGTTGGTATGAAAGGGTTTATGTTCAATATATATTTCAGCCAATTTAATCTGACAACATTTATTATCCTGTTGATCTATGATTATATCATTGATGGGAACTAGGATGTGATTGGTAGAAAATATTACATAGTCTTGAATTGATAGGTCAGCAATTTGGCAGGTTAAAATGCATATTCGTAACATATTAAAAGTACCTGCCACAGAACAATGTCATAGCATCTGAGAATGACCTTCAATCTTCAGCGAATACAGTATTATGTCTGTCACAACCACTGATTGGATTGCCTTTAATAATCATATTAAATCTCTGTAATATTCATATCAAATCCTTTTAATAATCATATTAAATCCCTGTAATATTCATATCAAATCCCTTTAATAATTGTTTTATTTATATTCAGTATTCCAATACCAGTGTTAAATAAAGGACACTCTCTTTTCATACCTAAATTTACCATTTTCTTCCACAGAGTGTGTTTTCTTTGATCACCAAATGTAAAGTACATGAGGCATTAACAAACACTGACATTTATTTTTACAATCCATTGACACCAAGATGTCAGGACGATTTTAGTTAGAAAAGGGATTAAATAGATAAAAAAATGTGATGTTATTGAAAGAAATGTATTTAAACAAAATATTCCGCTTTTAGATAATAGTGATTGATATTTTCTGATATAATTGAATCGAAAAGGAAAGTACAGTCAGACTTATTTATAAAAGGTCACCTAATGGAATTGTTTAAAATGGAGGTGATCTTTTTATATAGTTATGTATCTAATTTAGTAGCGCTGGAAAATATTGGAATCATATTGATTGACACAGCCAGTATATTTGAGAAAGGTTTTCTGTTTTGTTTTCACTTTATTCAATATGGTTTGTGAATTATGTTTTATTGGGAAGATTTCTAATGTTTAAAGTTCTGTTAAAGGTTTTTAAAAATGTTATAACTGTATTAATACTTGTAGTACTAGTAGGCAAATATTATGTTGAGTTGTGTCTTTATATTAAACAGGTGCAAATGATTTCAAGAAAGAAAAACATTTTATATTTGTACATATTTAGATTTTTGGCAAAGTTATGAGACCTATCTACATGCGGGTGGGACGATTTACCCAATACTACCCAATACCACCCATACCACCCCAATACCATCTCAATATCACCACATACTACCCAATACTACAACATAATGATGCAATATTGACATATTTGATTTTTTTTCAAAAATAGAGAGTTATATCGCGGGAAATGTACTTCAAATGCGATACCGATGTCTGGCTGTTCCATTTGCCTCCTATACCACCCCAAAAAAGCTAATAATAACCCAATACTACCAAATACTCATCAAATACTACCAAATATGATCGAATAACAACTTAATATTGTCAAATAACAGCACATTAGTATAATTACTGCAACGGATATTCGATATTTTGCAGAAAATTGAAATGTTTACACAGTTATCTCCCTTTACAACCGGTAAATTGATTTTAGATTGCTACTCGGTTTAATCATCTTCTGTGGCTTTGCAGTTCTTTTCCAAGCGACAAACTTAAAATAAGAAAAACAAGTATGACGATATACCATATTTTATTCCCAAAATGACCCATCTATCTCTTACCACTTGATAAGGTCGTCTGTCAAACAAGGTGGGTTTTCTCGGGTAGCCCGGTTTCATCTCACTGTTAAACACCCCTTCGCTCAAGCAAGTTAATGAAATAATATTGAACTATATGTTAGTCCCGAAATTACCTAGTTAGTGTCGATT